GAAAGAAACAGAAAGAAAGAAACCCCTTAAATTAAAGCCGTATTTGATTTTTAAGGAGTACTGCAGTCAGCATCCAACTAAAGCTTCCAGTCTTGTAGACTGACCAGGCAACTGGATATATCTGACTGAATCACATATATCCCTGAGTACTTATTTCATCAAACATTATTTCCTTCCTTAATCACACTTTATGAACATGCAAATCATATGCACGGGAAGAGAATCCACTGCTAAATTGCTACTTATGCTGGACGGAAGAGAAAGAAATAATAAGAGGCATTTTAACCAGCACCCCCATTAACTTTCTCTACCTTTCTTTCTTTTCTATTTCCTTCCTATTGCTTCCACTGGGACAGAAATTCAGTACGGTGACTTCCGGGTTGTTCCCCATGGGAATTCAGGGACATATTCATAAAAAGAAGGATTTCCCCTAATCCTTGCTGTCATGTACCTAATTTTTTCCCTGCCTTCGAGAAATGTTTTTGAACAAAGAACATACCAGTACTCCATAAGCCCCAACCATGCATATTATTCCAGTCCTGAGGCTTATGACCCAGCCTTATTCTAAGTAGGAACATACAGGAATCATCTGTAGGACATACGATCAGAACATCCTCAATACTGATTGGTCTGGGAGTTGCTCAGCCTTCATAGAAATATGCTTCTTTGGGAAATCTTTTTCCTTTGAGCAGCTGCAAAGTGGCAGGGCAAGCCTACCAGAGTCCTAGGTGTCTCAGTTTTTGATGAGTTGAGTAAGTTTGAGTTGGCTAATCTGATGTTTTGTTTTAAAAGTATCCAACCATTTCTGAACTCCTCTCCACTTGTTCTTGAATAACTCAGTTTTCAGCTGGAAACAGGAGTTGATTTTTATTCTTTTGCTTATTCTAAAGTTTGAAATTTCTCACATCTAGGCTACTTTATGAGCACACTGGCTTGGTTTTAAGGAGATTAAAGGAAGGTCTGGAAAGGGGACCTATCTGTGGTGGTGGCAGCCTGCCTCTGAAAGATAGAACAAAAGCCTGCTGTACCTGTGGCATAAGCCTTGCAGCCTCTTATCCTTTGTAGAGTTGGAGGGTTTAACCCTGGTCGGCCACACCAGACATGGTCCCAGAGTGCTCTCTTTTTGTCCATACTGACAATGGAGCACCACCAACCATGATAGCAGAAAGCTCCATCATCACTTGAGATGGTCCTCCTCTCCTCCCACAAAAACTGAGTACAGACAACACAGTAAGCCACAGTGGGTTTCTTAAACCATTCTACAAGCCATGGCTAGTAGTGGTGGTTCACCATGAAGGGACTGTGCTGGGTTCAGACAACCTGCCAAAGCAAAGGGGCTTATAAACCGCTGTGGTTCAATGTGTTCCACATATGCAACCACTGTAAATGAGCTTCAATAGCATCGGTGCGCTCCTATGGAATCAGTGGCTTCATGATTATGTGAATTAAGAATGTTGCTTTCTCTTGCTAAAATTGGCAATAATTAGTAATCTTTTAGCAGCTCAGCTGCAACAATTTTAAGATGGAGAAATGAACTCGATTAAGTATTAGGCATATGAAGAGGCCCCATGGTTTGTCATATTATGCTTCATTTGACAAGGAGTTACACAAGGAGTCATTTGGAACAGAGTGTCCATTGAAATATAGAACGATTCCTTGTAGAACGAGGGGTTTCAACTTCTATCCTTTAATGGAGATACCCAGTTACAAAAGATTTATGTAAATAATCACAATTGTTGATACAGGCATTCCAAAGCATAAGAAATCATTATCCATATTAAAACAAAAATGAAAAACAAAAACCACCAAGACTGTCTGAATACAGAAACAGAATATTCCAGTGTGAGCAGAATTTGTTCATTTATTTACTCTCATTAAAGTTTGTAAAAGCTCTTGAGCCCATTGTGCAAGCCTCCAGGCACAATTAAAAATGGATTGCCTTTCATACCAACAGTGAAGAAAAGGACCTGACTGTTTTACAAATAACTTCTCACATAGTTAGAAACACTCCGAATACAATTTCTTTATTTTATTGACAATGGACTTCATTTCTTCATGGACCTATTCTAAATCTCACATTTTCTTCTAAGCAACTAAGAATGATGTAGGGAGAAATCCATAGAGATTGTTTTTCTCCTCTAAAATCCATTTTTAAAGGAATCCAGATGAGAGCCAAGGCAGTTACATTAATACCTGTTCTAAATAATTTGATGCAAAACATAGAATTATTGAGCATGTAGAAGAATGAACTAGGTGAGGAAAGATCAGCATGCCTTCTTTAAATACAATCCTACCACACATACCTTTTGCAGTCCTTTGAGAATGCAAACAAGTATATGGATTGGGATAATCTGGTTAGCATTATATAAATGGACTTCCACAAACTTCTGCCAAAATTCCTGGCCAACAGTTCTCAAATAAACTTGGGGATAAAGGAGAGTTATGTGAGATATGAATTTGTAGCTGGATAGCTAAGAGGAAGCAGAAGGCAGGAATGAATGAAAACTGAGGAAATTAAGCCATGAACTTCTCAAGAGTCTATAGTGAGACCTGCGCTACTTGCTCAGAAAACAACTAGACTGAGGATGGATCAGTGAAGTGCCCAATTTCTAGATGATGAAAACTAAGGAGACTAAGTTTCAAAGGATCCCTCTAAATCTGGTGAATGGACATGAAAACAGAAATTGTGGTTTAATATTAATAGAATGTGATACACACTAGGGCAAAAAAATCTTAACTTCACATGTATACCCCTGGGGGTCTGAAATGCCAGGAAAGAGATCATGTTGTTGCAACAGATATAGCTCAATGGAAATATCAACTCAGGTTGCATCAGCTATTAAAACAAAAAGCACAACACAAAAACTGTTAAGAAAAAACTGTTTCTAAGGAAGGAAAATGCAAATAAAAAACCCTTATCATAATTCCTATGGTGAAGTCACAACTGGGCACAGTTCATGTTGCCGATTCCAAAAAGGATATCATTGTGCAAGGGGGGAAATGAAAAAGGAGCAATAAAAATGATCAAGACCTTTTAAAGGAAAAGCTGAATAATAAAGGACCTTTTAGTTCAGAAAAAAGTTGCTTCTTTTTTACTAAACATTTCACTCTTACAGTTTCAGCTATATGACAACTCAATAATTAAATACATTAATAATCATTATGATAATACAGTTACATATTATACAGAGAAAATATGGCTGTAAAGTTTTTATCCTTTGTTCATTCTACCAGAATTGGATATCACCCAATGCAATTGCTTGACAGTACACACAGGAGAGATGAAACAAAGGCACACAGTTAATTTACAAAACTCATTGCCGCAAGATGCTGCAGACAGATATGAGGTAGCCAAGGGCTAATGTCAATCTTCTCTTTAATTTGGTAAAAGAGATCTTGGCTACTTGAAGTAGTAGTGGGATTGCAATAGGCAGCAGCTTGGTGGTTTTCCTCCCTGAGAACAGCCCAGAGAGTAGCATTCGTTGTTTAAAAGAAAGGCCACCCCCATAGCTTTTAATCCAGTTAAAAGACTTCTTGCAGCTCTCTGCTGGTTCACGTCTATATTTGCCCACGAATGTATTACTCTGCAGCCCCTGAAGGTATGAGCTCCTCACCCTAAATATTGAAAAGTGGGCCCAGCATTATCAGGTCCCACTTTGCCCATCAGACATGTGATGTCTTGAACAGTTGCCAAGGACACAGCAGAGCTGCAAAAATGTAGAAAGGGACTGGAAGAATTCTTAATTTTCCATATAATGGGAGCACTGCTTCAAAACACACGGAAATGTGATGCCTCCCCCTGGTACTGCTGACAAACACTGAACAATATCAGTGTCATGGCTAAGAGAATAAAATGCACATTCCCCCTATAATTCCTACCACAGCCATACACTCCCATTCGCTTCGTGGCCTTCAGCACCTTACTTCAGATACTCAGTCTTGCCCATTCTCATCTACAACCCAGGATTAATAATAATGACCTGTTCTACATAGGTGAGGCCCACGCTGCTGCTGCTGATGATGAAGATAACATTGACAAAGCATTTTGACTTTTCAAAAAAAAAAAGATAGTACAGGGTATGTTAAAAGGAAATATTTAAAGTTGTGTTCACTAGCGTGCATAGTTCTTCCTGAACAGAAGGTATGAATACAGTGCAAGCAATGCATTTGCCAGTTTACAGCTAACCTTAGTCATGAACCATGAAGGTGCATTCTGACAGAGGGTGATAGCCATGTATTTGTAACTGAACACATTGACCACCTTATTTGTTTGTTTGTTTATTACATTTATATCTCACCTTTTCCTCACTTGCACAAAATCCAAGGTGACTTATACAGTCCTCTTCTTCTCCATTTTATCTTCACAACAGCCCTGTGAAGTAGGAGTCCATGCCTGGCCCAAAGTCAGCCAGTGAGGTTTGTGGCTGAGTGGGATCTCAAACCCTGATCACGTGACTTCCAGTCCAATGCTCTAACCACTATACCACACTGGCTCTTATATGCCTCTTTCAACTATACAGCAAGGTAGGACCTCATGTTTACATTTCTAGACTTCAACCTGAGCAAATACATTGCATAACACTCTGATAAGATTTGGCCAATGTTTCTCTGCCTCCTCATCTGTCAAATGAGAACAACAGTAATCTACCTCCAAGGCTTTCTTGTAACAACAGTGCTAAAGATGATTAAGTAGCTAGCAGATTGGAAATCCTACATAACTGTGCTATGTTATCACCTCCACTTGTTCATACATATTTTAGCTGGATTTGGGTCTTGCACTTCCAGCAAAGCTGCTTCTTGTTCACCTGGACCCAAAATTATTTTATTTAAAATAATTTTTAATTAACCAACCCAAGAGTCTTCTGAATGATGATTATCAGATTGCTCATATTAAAGATCAGGCTGAAGTTTTCTACATATTAATTTGTATATCCCTGCCTTAAATAGTCAAGTAACTCATTACAAACTGAAAACTGCCAAGTTGGTTTGTATTAACTAACCTTGTTTTTTAAAGAGGTTGCTCTGTACTATTTCCTTCATGGACTGCACTTTTTGCTTCTGTAGCTTTACTGGTGGAATGCAAGTGTAAAATTCATACAGGAGCTGGCTGCAAATAAATAGAATAATGACATGAAACAGCTCTGATTAAGGTGATATGGTATTTTTAAAGGAGCTACTAAAACAGGATAATGTTATAAACAGTTTGATTTGCAAATGTTTGCTGTCTAACTTTCAACAGATTTCTAAGAATAGATGACATGAAACAGTTGATATAAGTAAGGAATTATTTCCTTGATTGAACAGGATAATTGAATGGAACCCCACCCCCCCACCACACACACACACACACACACACACACACCCCTCTGGTATCAGTATTTTGTTCTTACTATTTAACTGAAAATTTAACTATTTTCTTTCTGGTAGTAAGAAACTCATGATTCCTAGGCAGATGTCTCATGCTCTTAGTTTGTGCCTAAAATCTGCAATACACTATAGACACACAAATACCATTGTCCCTATGTGCACCAGTACAAATGACACCAGCATCTAATCACCTTGATGATATTGCATTCTGAATATAGCTCACCTAAGTAATCTGACATCAAACACTGTTTCTACATCTTGAAGAACAGATGGAATATACTTCAAGGCAGACACCTGAAAGAGAAAAAATAAAGTACTTGCTCACTTTTTGTGTTTTTCAGAAATGTACAAAACAGGTGTAAACTAAAGCTCAAGATGCTATTTACCCCTTTATAGCGTATTCCCATTTGTTTTTATTCAGAACTATGTTCCACAACATTCAGAAAGGGCTTTATTCACCAGCTGTAATATGCTAGATTATTAAAACACAGGGAAATCTATCAGAATAAAATTGACAGTGGTCTGCAAAGGGCAGGTGACTTGCACTGATCCCATGTCCATTTTACATATTAGATTCCTGAAGGAAACTAAGAAAAAATACTTACAAGTGTGGGAAAACTTTTTCAGAGCAAGGGCCAAATGCCAATGTGGCCCCGAAGTGTGTGCGTGTGTTGGGGGGGGGGGGGATTCCATCTGTGGACAGGACCAAAGGCAAAATAGCAGAGTAGGTGGGACCAAATTAGGATTCTTACCATTTTAGTGTACTCATAGTTAAGCACTACATGCCTTAGAAGAAATAAGACTGAACCACCCAGAAGTATTTTTAATCAGTTTTGGAAGTAAGCCTGACAGGAAAAGCCTCAACAGTTGGCAGGAGTCAAAGCAAGAAAAAGCTCTTATCGCCAACAGCAAATTATCAGAGATAAAAGCTGATAATTTTTCAGAAAAGGAGCCCTTAGCATTGCCCAGCAGAGAAAAGTGCTTATCTCCAATCAACTGATGGTCAGAGAAAACCGCTTTTGCCACCTGAGAGAGTGGACAGGGCTTGCAAAAGAAGTTGGCAACCCAGTTGGAGAACTCCTGCTGGCCATATTTTCAGACTGGAAATTTCTCATGCCTACCTTAATAACACCAATTGAAATTACAATCACCCATATAATTCAAACTGTGCTCTGATTTCTCCCAAGGAGACCCTGAGATAAAAGTGCAGACTAACACAAGTTGAAAGATTAATCAAGGAAAGGAAAATTGAGAACTATTTGAGTTGGTAGCATCCTTCAAGATTCTTTACAGTGAAGAATCCAGGAGAGAGAGGGGGGAGCATATTGCAAAAGATATTATGCAGAAAGGGGGGGAAAAGAAAATGATTCTGCACTTTTAACCTCTCTAAACAGATCAGAGATGCAAAATGACCTTTGATTCAGGCTAGCAAGGAGGAAATCATTAGCACCCACCCCATCCAAAATGAAATCTATTAATGAGAATGCCTCACGAACAACCTTGCAAAAGTTTATCAGTTCTTTAGGTGTAATGAAAAGTTTAGTAGCCCACACCTCTACTGAAATACACCTATAGTAGTTCTTGGTGGACAAATATGACCAACTAATCTTTCATATCCTCATAAAGTTTTACTGCCAGGCCACCTGCCACAGAAGAACACATCTTTATATGCACCAATTGTTTGGATTTTCCAGGAAGTGCCTCCATTTTATTGCAAATGTTCCTGATAAAACATTGCCCCTTCATTGCCTGTTACAGAGATGCCCTGGCTTCCTTCTTAAACATTTTTAGTACACATGTGCACTACAGTCCTTTGGGATTCAACTTGCGATGTCAAGTTCCTGCACAATGAGGGCCAAGCTAGATGGAACACTGGACTGGAAATTCATGTGTCAAGGACAAAACCACACGCTTATTAAGAGCAAAGCAGGTCCAGAAAATCTGGTTCCAATCAAGACTGGAGCACTGGAAAGAAGAGAGGTCTCATCCTTACTTTCCCTGCTCATATATAATACTATGTTTTCTTCCAGTAGGGAAAGTCATAGTTTTGGGGATGGAAAGGAGTTCAACCTGGAAAAACTGCAGAAGAGGAAAAAAATACCATTTCCTGAGGAAAACTTAGAGTTTAAATAATCCAGAAAAATGTTTGGATAACCTGAGAATGAAACTTCCATATTGCATTTAGTTGCCTTCAGTGATGTGGGTGACAGTCAAAAGCATTTTTACTGATGTAAACATTATCATACATGCAACTATGTGACAACCAAAAGAACACAGAATGCCAGTATCCCGTTTCCTTCTCATTTCCTGGCTGAAAAATATAGCACCAATCCAGACAGTAAATACAATAAATACAATAAATATTCAGAAGTGTCCCTATTGCCTTCTGCAAACTGCCAGTGGGTTTGCTTTTCACATATCCATCAGAAAGCTGTACAGTGCATCCAATAGCTGGGTTCAAAGTCCCACAGCTACAAAGCCCACTGAATTGCCTTAGGGGAGTCACTATCTTTCAGTCTAATCAGCCCCACAGTAGGCTTGTGAGGGTATAATGGGTACAGTCATATAAATGGCATCCTGAGCTCATTGCTGAAAGGCTGTGTACCACCTGGAGGCACCTCATTCAATTCTGGAAAAAGCTCTTGGAAGGGGAGACCAGGCTGTGACCCAGTGGTGGGTGGGGATAAAGGCAACTGGGGTGAACCAGAGGGAAAGGGAGCCCCAGAGCATAAAACAGAAAGGGCTTGTGGCTTATAGCTCACCCTGCCAGTCACTACACCTCCAGAAAGGCATGTCCACCTTTTAGAATGGCCGAAGAAGTGAGCAAAGTTAGGAAACCTACAAGGAATCAGTGGCTGTGGGGAGGAAAAGGGGCATGTTCTTCTGGAGAAACTGAGAGGGCCAGAAGGGGATCTCATGTGGATTGGATTTGGGTCCCAGGCCTCAGGTTCCCCACCCCAGTTGTATACTGATTAAATAAAGCAATAAAGTCACTCTCTGCTGCCCTGGCACTGAGCAAGCAAAAGGTGGCCTGCATTGTGCAAACGTGCATCCCCACACAATCAACATGAAGTCAGCAACTGAGAGTGCTTACAGTCAATGCATACACTTGGGTTCCTGCCTGGAAGAAGCATATAATAATCCTCTGGACACATGTTGCGTATGAATGATGTGAGCAGGTGACGTATATAGTCCTTCCACACAGCATTAGTATTTCAGTCCATTCTATCACAACAAATTTGCGGAAGTCAGTTTGGGGATGACAATTATGCCAGGCTCATTCAGCTTTGCTAACAAGCAAGTTTTCACGCTCTTCTACGGTCAAGAGAGCACAAATGACACCAGGAAGCAAAAACACAGCACAGAAGAAATACAGCTCCACTCAGTTTTTATTCCAGTCCTGATTGCATGACAGCTCTGTCCCAATAGAGAAGCTCATGCAGTTGAGCATGGGCTGCTGGTGGTTCACCCAACCTGCCGTACATGCACAGACACAAATGATATATTCCATGCCCCAAAGAATGACACCCTGCTACATTTCGGTGGACAAAGGTTGCCAAAGACTAGGTGCAAAGCTTTCCATCCTGATTTACTGTGACCAGTTCATAGAGGCATAACTGAGACAGGGCTTGCTTCCATTCTCTTGCCCTTTAGACGCTTGCTTAGAACTCCCTCCATCTGGATGATGTTTCCCACAAAAAGCTATTGGCAGCTGCCTGCTCTGCAGAATCCTTTTGAGCAAAGTGCACCTTTTGAGTGGCAGATGGAAGAGGGTTGATTTATTCATTATATTACAGTTTTTTCATCCACTCTTCTTCCTAAGAACTGAGGGTGGTGTACTCTGTGCAGCCACTTACTTTGGAAAGAATCAACACAGGATAGTGTATGCTAGCCCACCCCTACGCCAATGCATGCAGCGGTCCTTCCATACACAACCTATGGTATAAATAACTAGCACACGTATAGGCTTTGTTTATGCAAGCTGAAGTCCACCAATGGAAGAGGAGGAGGAGGAGGAGGAAGAGGAGGATCTAGCATTTATACAGAGTTGATTGACCTCAAAAATGACTGCTGAATAGGGCTTATGTACAGTACATTAGGCTGGGTAATGACCATTCAGCCAGAGCCACCTGATGAGTTGAGATCATCCTGGCCCAAATCCAGCATATTGACTCTATTGGTTTGTAGAGAGTCAAATGGTCAAATAAAGTATATCTCTTTTATTTGCATTTTTGTTGTAAAGTCTGTCTTTAAAGCAGTACAGCTTACTAGAACTCAAACTCAGGTAGCTTGTTCACAAGTCTCTCGGTGGAGCTTGGCCTGAGTCACTGAAATGTTTTATAAAGAAAAGGTCAGAGAGCGAAGTAAAGGCAGCAATGACAATAGGCAAGGCTTCCTGAGACCAAGCCTTGCAGCAGGGTTCTGCAGACCATTCTGCAGAAAAACTGAAATTGCAGTACTTGACTCAGGCACTTTCCTGGATCGCCAGGCAGGACAATCAAGACACTACCTGTGAAGAGTGTTGGTTATCTGGGCTGCACCAAGCTGAGCTGCAGAACTGCATAAGGTTTAGAACACAATTCTCTCTCTCCAAAATCAGGCAATCCTGGGCAAGGTTCTAGAGAGGGCAGTTGCCCAGGCACTCTTGGATAAAACTGATTACCTGGATCAGTCAGGGTTCAGGCCTGGTTCTGGCATGTAAACAGACTTGGTCAGCCCGTATGATGATCTATGCTGAGAGAGAGAGGCGGGGGGAGTGTGACCATGTTGATACTGCTGAACCTTTTGGCAGCTTTGGATAACGTTGACCATAGTGTCCTTCTGGAGCTTCTGGCTGAGTTGGGAGTGGGGGATACTGCATGGCAGCCATTCTGCTGCCACTGTGAGGGCCATTTCCAGAAGGTGGAGCTTGAAAAATATTGTTCAGCCCCAAGGATTCTCCAGCATGGAATTCCTCAGGGGTCTGCTCTGTCCGCCCCCCCCTCCCCATGCTGTCTAGCATCTGCATGAAACTGCTGAGTGGGGTCATCCAGAGTTTTGAAGTGAACTTTATCAGTATGCTGATGACATGCAGCTCTATTTCTCCTTTTCATCATCAGCAAGTGAGGTTGTGAATGTGCTAAACCAGTGCCTGGCTATGATAATCTAGGATCTAGGCTAACAGGCAGAAGCTCAGTCCAAACAAGACCGAGGTGCTGTTGGTGGGTGATTCCTTTGGCCGGATATGGGATGTTCAACCTGTTCTAGATGGGGTCATACCCATGAAGGAGCAGGTTCATAGATTGGGGGTGTTCCTTGACCCATCATTGTCACTTAAGGCTCAGGCAGTGTTGGTGGCTTGGAGTGCTTTCTACTAGCTTTGGCTGGTGGGCCAGTTGTGCCCCTACCTGGACAAGGGATAGCCTGGCTTCAGTAATCTATGCTCTGGTGATTTCTAAATTAGATTATTGCAGTACACTCTATGTGGGACTGTCTTTGAAGATGGTTCAGAAGCTGCAGCTACTGCAGAACATGGCAGCCAGATTAATAACTGGTATCTTAAGGTCTAAATATATAAGACCAGTTCAGCCCATCTGCACTGGCTACATGTATGCTTCCAGTCCCAATTCAAGGTGTACAAAATGCATGTAAGCACTGAAATAGTTTTATACCAGCAGGATTATAAGTCATTAAAGTATTAAAAATATATGCCAGCATCTGAATGGAAAGCCACAAAAATACATGGGTTTTAAAGGCCCACTTAAAAGTTCATACAAATGGAACCTAATGGCCCTTAGGAGAGAGTGCAACAAGCATGGGGCCACCACTGAAAAAGCTCTTTCTCTAATGCTGTGGTAGGGAACTACTTTGAGCCATGGACATGTTTAGCAGTTTGAAAACTCCTAGGTGTCACCACAAAATGGCTGCCATAAGGGAGAGGCAAAGGACAAGTTACCTGCCCAAAAGTGTGAGTACAGGACAGAGGTGAAGTCTAAGACCCAGTGCACCATACATGTACTTTGAATGGACAGTTTGCATCATCAGCAGAAACCTACTTCAAAACAATCCTAACTGGTTTTTTTTTTAAGTGGGAGGGGTAGCAGATTCTTGGTGAGTTCCACAGAAGGTGTCTAGATGTCAGTGAGTTTATTTTGGTACACATTTGTCTCTCAGAATGAACGGCATAATTGGTAAATGGAAGAGCTGAAAAGACCTTAAGAAGCAGACTACACTAGTGGAGGTAGCACTGTTATTATTGCATTGTTTAATTATGTTTATTATTATTAAAATAACTACCATTTATTGGTTATATTTATTTAATAAAATTTTAAAACATTAAAAAAGAAGCAGGTTACATAAATATGTTCTGGTTCTTTAAGGAAATCTCTCCCCACCTTTTTCAAATACAAATAAAAATAATTCAGAAGGCTTTTTAAAATCTTTGCTTCTCCAGGTCCAAGAAGGTCGATTGTTTTTTGTAGAGGTTTTTTATGCCTGATTGTAAGGTCAGTTTCTTCAGACTCAAACTATTATTTGTAGATGGACAAAAATAAATGAGAGGTCCTTACCAAGACACTGTCCAATTCCTTTATGGTAAGTATGTCAACCAGAATTTAGGAAAAAATACTTAGGATTCTGAGATGGGAGAGGGAGCATCTCCTACTCCAACCCTGCTGATTCAACTAAGTTTACTTCTGAGGTTTCACTCAGCATCATAAGCTGAACTTAGTTTTATGATCAAAGAGGACGCCTGATCTCATTTATACTCAGTTCATGTAGACACTGCTGTGATATTTCCATTTTAGTGTCTATCTTTTGTAACATATTTGGCACCTTATCTTTTCCTGCAGTGGAAGTCTGACTTAAAAGTGACATTTCCCTTCCGTGTGATCTCAGCCTCTCCCATAATTTTCTTGAAATATTCATTTGGTGACCATAATTTATTATGTTTGTTCATGTTTAGGACACTTCTATCTTCTAGGCAGCTACATTTTAAGAATAATCTCTGTGTTGAGCCATCAGTTATTGTCTGATACTACAAAGCCCAAATAAATTCAACTATTTAAGGAAAACAGATTTGCTTTGCTTCATAATTGTACCAGAGTGAAAAGAAAACCACTTTTATTAGTGCAAGAGTTGAAGAAGACAATTATAGAAAAAGGCTTTTTATATGCTGCCCTTTCACTAATGGTTTTGGGTTTCTGAGCTTAACTTTTAAAAACCACCATTATAAAATACTGTACTTAAATTTCTTCTAAAAGCAAATGCATCTACAGAATGCAGCATCCTCATCCATTTTCAACCTTGCTGTTCCCAGTTTATCACCACATGTTACAACCTGCAGGTCTTTAACAGAAGTTAAATAGTGGGACTCAAGAGGTGAGATTGATTATTTTTACCGTAGTACCCTGCTGGTAGATTGATCGTCTAAAGCCTGGGATTACTTTACTTCTACGTTTCCACAATGCTATCACAAACAAGTAGATAACACCCATGGCATCAAAACAGATAAATAAATCTAAATACATCTTGAAGAAAGGTTGCTGTGAATACCAAATAGGAGCTTGGATCTCAAGTTAAGCTATTGGGCAGCCCACAGTGCAGTTACACATATATTTATAGTACAATCCTATTAAAAATAGAGAAAGCATGGGGCTTTATGATCACAAAGGAAAGCAAAAAGACTAAGAATCAGAGCTATGTTGTTGTCCACCACCCTGAACACACTTACTTGAAAGTAAGATATATTAATAGAACTTCACTAAAAAGATTTCTGCCCTGCACAAGTTGCCAAGGGAAGCTACAGAATTGCATCCACTCTAAAAATAAATAATCTGTATTCTGTGGGAAAACACATAGGTAGTAGTTTTGATCCCCAACAGTCCAAAAGTCACATTTGATGACAAATTTCCACATAACAATGAGAAACTTTCAAGGTCTCCAGAACACCTAATCAGATGAAAATTAAGCAAAATGCTCGGCATTAAGTTGAAGCCCAATGTCTACCCAACAGTTTTAAGACAGAGTGTGGACATTGTCAGGCAGCTTCCATTTAATTTAAACTCTGCTAGGACAAACAGCTTTCAGGCTGAACTCAAAGCTGCAACGTAAAGAGAAAATAACATAAAATCTAGCAAATACTAGCAACTGGCTCCAGATTAAATTGGGTTGCCTTTTAAATTTTGCACCAGCACTGAAGGAGGTTCTCTTCTATGGCCATTCTATAATGCTAGTGTAGTACTGAAAATCCTGTGACCACGTGGGCTGGCCAGAATGTGTGAGCCCTCACTCATGCTCCTTCATGGCCTTGCAAGCCACACTTACAGGACTTCCACTTCTGTAATCTAAGCTACTTAGATCGACTGCTGAAGATTTCAGTGTTAAACTGACATTAGCAATAAGCACACACATTTTTTTTAATTTTTGAGAAATCCTGTGCTCAGACTAAAATTCAAAGATCTTGAGCATCCTCTCAGTTTATGGCAATGATAATGGGTCAATACTTCCACAATCGGGAAAGCAAAATAGGCAAACCTGTAATAAAATGCTTGTTTTATGTTGGCTTTTCATCAGGTTGTTGATTGATTCAAAAAGTCTCCTCATGGCCTCTTCAAATTCCGTCAGTTCTTTGCCTTCATACAGCCTGGAAGAAAACATTGCATTAGAACGTGTGCCTCCCTCACACACCCAGTCACAAAAAAGCCACGCAGCTTGTCTGTGCAATAACTCGATGCATGAGCAAATGTCTCAAAAGACACATCCAGTGTCATTATACCTATCCACAAGCCGTCACTGAAGATGTACCAGGTTGCTTTTGCATTTCCATTAAAAGTCTTTAAAGATAATCCTTGGAAACTTGGAAGGTGGAACACCAAGTCCAGCTTTTGGTCTGGACCAGAACTGGCATCATGGGTGGCAACAACCATGCACCACAAAAGTGCCAAGTTGGCATCATGGGTGGCAACCCTGGAGCCCCCTTGCCTGTTGCCTTTGCTTCTTCTTGCTGCTGCCAACTGTTCATCTGCCATCCTGGACCAAGCAAGCCCTCAGAGGAATAAAGAGGAGTAGAAACTTAGGCAAGCTTTGCACTCCACTCTCCGAGGAATAGTGAGGATATGGCCTTAGGAGAAGAAGCAGCTGCAATCCTCCTCCATGCCATTTTACCATCCTCCCTCCTGGAACACACCATAAGGTGGGATATGTTGATTTTTCATCATCTCTGTTTCACCCTGGAGAGCCAGTGTGCTGTAGTGGTTAAGAGTGTGGGACTGGGACTCAGACGATCCGGGTTCTAGTCCCCGCTCAGCCATGGAGCCAACTGGGTGACTTTGGGCCAGTCACAGACTCTCAGCCCAACCTACCTCACAGGATTGTTGTTGTGGGGATAAGATGGAGGAGGAGATGTAAGGTGCCTTGAGCCCTTTGTAGGAAAAAGGCAGGATATAAATTGGAAAAAAAATAAAAAAAATAAATAAAAGATAGCTGCCTGCTTCAGCCTGCAGAAGAGTCCTGTGTAACATAAAGGTAGCTATTCTTTTTATAAGTGCTATGCTAATTTAAAATGTACAGCCATGCAAGCCCAGCCAGAAAACTCCTTCTGACTTTCTTTTTATGCAGTCTCTGCTTGCTCCCACAACTTCAGTTTGAGCCTTCATATGTAAGTTACTTAGAAGCCTTGAGCACCACAAAGTGTTTGAGAGAGCGGGAAAATCTGCCCCCACCTCCTCCTCAAGACTACTGCAGGTCTAGATTCCAAAGGTCCAGGTTTAGAACAATCAACATGGTGGTGCCATTGCTGGTCAATTAAAAAGGAAAGTGCCTCGTTTGACCTCTCAAGAAAGGTGAAAGCACAGGTAGCCATTAGAGGCCCAGACAGCAAATGTTTTGGTCTAGCATGATAAGGAGGAATGGTGGTGAAGTGCTGCATTGCTCCACAGGAAACTGGAAATTGCTGCTGGAAACCTGGAACTGGCAGGATGCCAGTCCTTTTCTCAAAAACTTCTACTGAAGGAGTCTACAGTCTTCTCAGGAGACTTATCCAAGTAATTACATGCTCTGTTATTGATGACAGTCAATAACTGAAATAACTGAAATTCACCTTATTTTAAATGTTTTAAAACGTTGACAGCATGACTTGTTTCAGGGAAAATAACTCCTAAATAATCCTTGGTCTGTTGTTGCATTATGTCCTCTCCCTCAAATGAGCCACTTTACCCAGATTTGGTTAGTGTGACAAGCTGCACCCAGAGAGATAATCAGGGAAATGGCAGCCAGCACATATGTGGAGCTTGTTTGATTATGTGAACCATCCTTAGTTTAAACCTGAAGTTGCCTTATTTTGAAACAGATTGTAATTAGTAACCACTGTTTCTTGTCATATTCCTAACAGATAGGGTTAACACTATCCTATTTCCAACTGATATCTTTTTAAATATTACCAAATTATGCCCATTAATATTCTTCTTCTTAAGTTAATTACCTCTTAAACCTTTCTTTGTAGAATTTTCATTAAGCCCTGAGATGGACAGAAAGTCCAGATGTTTTAGATTCAGTTTCCAGCCTTTCTAACGTTTACCTATATTGGCAGAGGTTTCTGGGAGAGGATTTCTAAAACATTTGGAGGTCAACTTTCTGCTCATTTCATCTCATCTCTAGAGTTTCTAAGTAACTGTAATAAAAATGAGTTTTGTCTACTTAGTCTGTGTCCAATTCCTCCTATTTTGTAACATTGGATAGCTTCATGTCCCACACTTTCATAGAAGCCACTGATGACTACATGGGAAAGTTCAAATATGTCAGCTGTATCTAAGGTAGATTAACAACATCACTTAGGCTGACATCTGACACACAGTTAAGTGGGAGTAAGCTCCACTCAATGGGAAGTATTTTTGAGTAGACATGAAGAGTACTGGGTTGGTGAATACAAGTACAGGAAAAAGGAATAAGTATTTACTTTTCAAAGGAACTTAGAAGGGGAAAAGCAGGTTGCTTACCTGTAACTGATGTTCTTCGAGTGGCCATCTGTGCAGTCACACATATGGGTACTGCGCCTGCGCAGTGCCTGTGGCCGGAAGATTGTCAGCTAACAGATTTGGCAGGAAGCTCTGCTCCCCCTCCCCCCGTGGCCTATAAAGAGCGGAGCGTCCGCCATTTTGTTCAGTCTTTGTGACCGAACATATGCCACTTTATGGAAAAAAAACTTTTCTTTTTTTTTGAAGTCGGTACCGTGACACCGAGCGGTAGATGCATCCACTCACCGACACCGAGTGGGGCCGGCGGGTGGGTTGTGTGACTGCACAGATGGCCACTCAAAGAACATCAGTTACAGGTAAGCAACCTGCTTTTCTTTGTCGTGGCCTCTGTGCATCACACATATGGGTAGATTAACAAGCTTGCCATAAAGGAGGAGGGAAGGTGTCCTCATTGAAGAACGGAGGAGAGAACAGCTCTACTGAAGGAGCAATCCCGTCGAGCTCGAACATCGAGATGGTAGTGCCTGGAGAAGGTGCAAGGGTTAGCCCAAGTAGCGGCTCGGCAAACGTCATCAATCGGCACCCCGGATGCAAATGCAGACGAGGTTGCAACAGCTCTAGCAGAATGGCCTCAAGGAACTGAAGGCAGTTCAAGCTTAGCTAATTGATAGCATAAGACTATAGTGTGGACTATCCACTTAGAAAGTCTCTGTGGAGTGACTGGATTGCCCTGATCCCTAGCAGAATATTTGATGAATAGTTTATTGGATCATCGAATAGACTCCGTTCGCGATCGGTAAAAGGCTAAGCAACGCCGAACATCGAGTGAATGCAAAGATCTTTCCAATGGAGTCGATGGTGACGGAAAAAAGGCAGGCAGCACAATGTCTTGTCCCGTATGGAAAGGTGTAGACACTTTAGGCAAGAAAGACGGGTCGAGGTGTAAAACGACCTTCTCCCTGTGAAAGTTTAAATAAGGAGGGTCTACGCGAAGAGTGCAAAGTTCACTGGCCCTCTGGGCTGAAGTGACAGCTACAAGAAACGCCGTCTTCCAAGAGATCAATCGCAGATCCACCGTCGCCAAAGGTTCAAAGGGGGCCTTCATAAGGGCCTGTAGAACTACAGAAAGGCTCCATGTGGGTATCACCGATCTAATTGATGGGTTAAGATTATGTAGTCCCTTCAAAAATCTTTTGAAGATAGGATGAGAAAACAGAGGTGATCCGTCGACTAAGCCACGGTAGTAGGCTATTGCGGCTGTATACACTTTAATGGATGATGGCTTCAATCCGGAATGGTGCAATTCCAGGAGGAACTGAAGAATTTGTTGAATGGATGAGAGGAATGGAGAGAACGAACCAGACTCGGCAAAGGTGGAAAAACATTTCCATTTAGCCTTATATGACTTCCTTGTGGACGGCTTTAAGGCAGAGTCGATGATATGCTGAATATCAGGGTGCAAAAACATCGGATTCGGATTCGACGGGTCTTGTCTCGAACCGGATGGTACAGAGAGACCAGAGAAAAGGGAAGCACCCGAGTGATTGGATTTGACAACTGGATCTGAGGTGGTTGAAGTCATTGTCAGTACCAATGGATTAGGAGAAGCTGTCGGATTCATAACTCTCGAAACCGTTGTCGGCACCAATGGAACGTCAATCGTCGAATTCGCCACGCTGTTAGGTTCAATGAGAGCAAGTCCGGGTGGCGAAGTGTGCCGTCCACCTGTGTTATAAGATATGGGAGCGATGGAAGATGAAGAAATTCCCTGCGAGAGATGTCGAGTAGTTTTGCAAACCACGCTTGACGTGGCCACCAAGGGGCAACTAGTATCCCCGATGCCCAGTCGTGCACTATCTTTGCTATGACCCGCATCAGAAGAGGGATCGGAGGGAAGGCGTAAAAGTTCATATTGTTCCAAGGGATCATGAATGCGTCCCCTAGCGATGCGTGTCCGATTCCCGCTCTCGAACAGTAAGCCTCGCACACCCTGTTCTGTTGGGTAGTGAATAAGTCCACGTCGGGAGACCCCCCGTGCCGGAAAAGGTGGTTGCGCATACGAGGATCCAATTCCCACTCATGAGAGGTGAACATGTGCCTACTGAGAAGATCCGCCTGCACGTTGTCTACACCAGCTAGATGAACAGCCATCAGCGTGATGTGTCTCCGGATGCACCAGTCCCAAATTTTCATAGAAAGTCTGGCTAGAGTCAGTGACTTTGTTCCCCCTTGCTTGTTCAGATAAAAGACGGTAGCTATATTGTCCGAAGTTATCTGAACGATCTGATGATGAAGGATGTCCTCGAAAGAGTGCAGGGCCTTGAAAACTGCCAGTAGTTCTAGGAAGTTGATATGATTTGTGGATTCTCGACGATTCCACGTACCCTGGGTAGATAGGCCAGAGCATATCGCTCCCCATCCTAGAAGAGACGCGTCGGTGCCAAGGGTTATCGTAGGAGGTCGTGCCCTGAAGGGGACTCCTATCATAAGATTGGTCAGTTCCAACCACCAAAGCAGAGAGTGAAGCACAGAAGATGGGATCTGAATCAGTCTCGACTGCGGATCTCTTTGAGGATGGTACACCTTGTTGAAAAAGAGTTGCAGTGGACGAAGCCGAAGCCTGGCATGTGGAACTGCGGCAACTGAGGAAGCCATATGCCCCAGGATCCTC